CTTGGTGCTTTTTCATGATATTTCAATAACTTATAGTCTAACTTTAGTCCATGGGCTGTTGGTCTTTGATCTGGCCCACAGGGGTTGTCAACACTACAATCAAGTGTTGTGTGTGTATTGTGCTTAAACTGTAATTAATAGCTTTTGAAGGTATGTGGATTTCATGAACACCATAAGTCAAGTGTTCATTGACTATTGACACCATAACTCAAGAACCTGTTGTAATGCATATAAATGTCTAAGAAATTCTGTTGTAAGTCCATATTTAACACTGGTAACAAAACTACCAAAACAACAGGTTATTAATGCATACAGAGGTCTAATCTGTCTCTGTGCACATATATCCTACTATTCCATATTGTTGGTAAGTATGAAAAAGATATTTTAGGTCTTGTGTGATAGTAAGTTTGTGATGAAAAAACAATAAAAGATGGCCCCTTCCCTTTTCATCTAATCTTTTTTGGTCTTTTATTTCCCCTTTAATTTTTTTTATGTGTTGTTCTTGATCGAGGATTGAAGGTGTATATAGCCACATACATGTAAATATGATCTCTCGTGTATTTTCAAGAACTAATTATTGATCTTATGTATGTATAATTAAGCTTTTGCTCTGGCAGCCCAATGCATGGCATAATGGTGATACATGGGGCATCATCCTCTTCGTCTTTGGCTTAATGGTCCGAAGGCAGCCTGTAGGATTATTAGATGACAGAAGATTCCCCAAAAAGAATATGGATGTAAACAAAAATATATGACTTTGAAGCCACTATTTATATTTGTTTCTATGTGGGTAATTGCTATGAAGTCTTTAATTGAACATGTTCAATTCATCATGCGATTTTTACTTGAGAAACAATTGTTAGATGACAGAAGATTCCCCAAAAAGAATATGGATGTGCAACACCTACTATGGGTAGTTTCTTTTGATTTTCTATGCCCTTTCCCACTCTTAATCACTTGTTTTGCAATTAGAGTTCGTATTTAGAAGTTATCAAATTATGGGCATTTGTGTTCACGAACAATAAGCTTCAGGAGTATATGAATATTTGTTTTTCTGAACAAACATAAAAACTTAAAAGAGGGTGGACCGTTCAGAGATACAACCAATAAATATGGTATTCCCCTTTCAATTCTTGTTCAAGTTGAAATAGCTAAATTGGAAAGCATTTTATACCTTCTGCATCTAGAACACCATTATGACATTTAAAACTTCACTTGCACAGGAGGCTAAGTGGTGGTGTGACATTTTTCTTAAGATTGTCCACCATTTGGAACACCGTTTATGTAACACTTTAAAATAAGGGTATTTGAAATAAGTGGAATGTTGAAGATTAATTATATTTTAACTAATTGAATTAAAAAAATAATAATAATATAAAAATATCTAATGAATATTTTTGGAAATGCCATTCAAATTTTCAAAAAATAAAACGTGGGAAGTGATTTTAATGAGAATCAAATAAATTTATTAATTGGTGAAAAAAAYTGAGAGTAATGAAACGGAAAGGTGGCAAGATTTATTGTATGAAGGAGGAATATCTATATCCTCCATATATATATATAACCTTCCTTTTTTTCAATTAAGAGACTGTATATATACATATATATATATATGTATGTATATATATATGTATGTATACAAACTGTTCTATAAAGCTTCAAGCCAAGTGAAAAGAAAGAAAGAAAAAAAGGAGAACTTGGGAAGGACGAGACTGCGAATCGAGGGTGGGAATTCGAGTTCGTAAGCGTTCAAGCATCGATAAGGTAATACTTTATGTTTAAGATAACATCTTATTTTTATGTAAAAACTTCTTAACGTCTTGATTGGCGGGGTTACTTGGTTGCAATGGCGGCCTAAAAGTTACCGATTAATAGTCATCGCCTTGAACAACGACGGTTAAACCGACGGAGGTTTAAACCCGATGTCGTATCGTTTTTAGTCTCGATTGAACTATAAAACAAATGTGAGACTCCTTATAATTCTTGATTTAATATTACACTAGTGATTTGAGATTTATATACGTGTTTATCAAGCCGATTAGTTGATCGGGTAATAGATAATCTTCCGATTCAAAATAGAGAACGTACGGTTAAAAAATAATATAATATTCGGAGTCTTAACGATTTGAAACCATGAACAAGGGGTTGTACAATTTGTCGAATACGACAATATATCGGTCTAGCAAAAGAGTGGTTTAAAATTAATTTAAATTGAATAAATAGATTAAAGTGTTGCAAAAGGATTGATGACTATCGAAATGCTTTAAATCAGTTTATGGAGTTTACATGGCTATAAAGGGTAAATTAATCGACGTTAATAGACTTTCATAATATGAATAAAGTGTCGTATTTGTAATTATAATAGTTGGCGCAATTTAATTAGGAGTTGGAAATATTATAAAATGTCAAATTGACGTTATATGACGTTATAAAACTTAAAGCTTGGGGTTTAACAATATTCGACATAGGTTAATCGAGTTGACTAAGGGATAACTTCAAAGTCACTAGGTTTGATCTTATTAACATAGTTTTGACTTTTGGGTCAATTGTTGAAGAAAACCTAGTCATTAATTAACTATTATGGTTTAATAATTGTAGGTTATTAGTCAGGAAGATCATTCGACAATCTACAGAGTCAGGTGAGTATTCATGAGACTTTAACTGGGATGCATGTCTATGTACAAATTATTTGAGCATTACGATATTGTTTTATGTACATGTTTATGGGTTTATTACATGTATATGAATTATTATTGTGGGTTGCATGCTATTTGTTTACATTTTTTTTTTCTAAACATTAATTAGCATGTTATAAAAGAATTAATATTTTTTGTCGGGTATGGGAAGTGGTCAAAGGTCATAAGGGATGGCACATCCTAGGGATGGATGACCGGACAAGGGATAGTCGTGTAACCCGGGGAAGTGCCGATGACGCTAAGATCTTAATCCGACAGAAAATTAAGAGATCTCATTATTATTTTAAAAGGGTTTGAAACAAATATGCATGTTATTTTATTTGGGGTATTGTTTATTTTATGCATGATGAGATATGTATGATTGTGCAAAAAAACCATGAAGTCACTGAGCTTTATAAAGCTGACTATTAGTATGCATCTTAGGAGCTGGGTGTTCAAGAACGGAAAAGGGTAAAGGTTCTGCATAGGAAATTGAACTATTATTCGAGTTATGAATTATAAAATTCTTAGTATTTTAATTGAATTTATATGTAATGTAACCCGATATGGGATGGGTTAGTTTTGAGATATTAATTACGACTAAATTATTGTAAGACTTCCGCTGCAATAAAGCTTTATTAACCGCTAGAATTTTAATTTTTTATATTACGTGGCACCTTGTATTTGAAATGAGGGTGTTACAAGTTGGTACCAGAGCCATTAGTTTAAGAGAAATAGGTATAAAAAAATATATAGCCTAAGCTTAAATTTGTGAGGTGTTTAGTATCACTATATACATTGCAATTAAGTTTGTTTTACTAATGTGTGACTTAGTGTTTTTCCTTGTGGTTTTGTAGAAATATGGTGCACACTATACGCACTAGGTCTGTTAACCGTGGGAGAGGACGTGGGCGTAGAACTGTAGGACGGAGAGTACCATTCGGGCTAGGCCCGCATTGTGAGAGTATTGATAGCCATCACACCAGTATGACTCCTAGTTGGAACCGCATACCCAGGGGTGACAGTCCAACATCTCTAAGGAGTAACACAACTCAAGGTTCGTTTCAAGGGACACCTGTGGTAGCGCAGCCTCCCACGTGCACCAACTTGGAAGAAAGGATAGAATCTTTGCAAAGAGAGAAAGCTGAGTTGTGGGATAAGTTGGCCTACCTCGAGTGGGACAATGATAGGGCTAAGGGAATGCTCGACAACCTACAACGGGCACAAATAAGGCTGATAACAAATAGGGATAACCTACGAGGAGAGAGAGATCTTTTGAAACTAAAGTTGGCTCAAGAACGGAGAATTGTCTCCCGATCATGGYGCACTCGGGTAAGGGATAGGACTAGCTTTTGCAAGATGGTAACTACTGAGTATGTCGGGATCGTGAAAGGATATTTTGTTACATGGGTCCAAAATTTCAAAATGGGTCCAAGAGCAAACCCATTATGGAAATTCAAACCATCGTTGACCTATGCACAGTGGATTAGAGACCCCTACCTTTCCGAGATGCCTTAGGGATATGGATAGCCATAAAGAGAGATTTTTTTTTATTTTGAATTGATGTTTAGCTTGGGATGTTTTTACTACTAATACTTTGATGACGATTTAGTAATCCCGAATTTTGATAGCTATRGTAGACTTATGTATTGATTGTCTCTCTTTTTGAAATCCGTAATATGAATAATAAATTATGGCTGTAAGGTTTGAAATGATCGTAGTCGTTTCTTTTTTTTTAGTGATTGCATGTATTTAGTATTTAGATTTTAATATCATGCTACTATATTCAGTATGGTATCACGTGGATCTACAAGAAATGCCACTATCGGGGAGGGAGTTGGAAATCAGCCACCACCAACAGGAAGAGGTCGCGGTCACGATCGTGGCCATGGTCGCGGTAACACCGCAAGCTCAAGTGAAACTTTTTATGTGGATGCAAGCTTGGCCACCCATGGGGCACGAGAGCAAAATCAAGGAATTGGAATAGGAGAAAATGACGTTACCGATGAGGCACTAACTGAAAGGATGACTCGAGTCCTCCAAAATACCCTTCCAAGTATGCTAAAAGCCATATTAGGTGATAGGTTCAAAGGCCCCGAAGAGGAAGAGGAAGCAAGCACCCAGAAGAAGAAGACAATGATTAACTCCCAACCCACTGAAAAAATGGAGTCGTCCGTCCAAGGAAAAGATGACCCAACAGTGCAACTGAGGGTGGAACCCCAAACCAAGGAAAGGGGTTGCAGTTACAAGACTTTTAGTAGCACCCGTTTGAAGGAATTCAGAGCTATTGAGGGCCCGGTAGCCCTAATGAACTAGGTGACTAAAATGCAAAGTTGTTTTAAGATTTGTAAGTGTTCAGAAGAACAGAAGGTGACTTATGCTGCTACCACCTTTGGAGGTTCGACACTTCATTGGTGGGAGACTGAATGCGCCATTCGAGGGGATAAAAACATCGCTACCATGACCTGGGAGAAAATTAAGATGTTGATGGATAAATATTGTATGCAGACAGAGGTGAAGAAGTTGGAGTCGGAGTTCCTGAGGTTGGAGCAAGGATCTTTGTCTATTCAAGAATATGTGAACAAATTTCTAGAAAAGCCTAGGTTTGCTAGTTATCAGGTGGCAACTGAGCAAAGAAAGATAGATCGATTTAAGGATGGCCTAAGGATAGAGATAAAGCAGTACGTGGATATGGTTAAACCAACCACGTTTGTTCAAGTTGTGGAAATGGCGACTGTTGTGGAGGAAAATGACATCAAGGCAACTAGGGAGAGAAGGGAGGTCAAAAGAAAATGGGAAGCATCAAGTAAATTGACAAAGAAATCCAAGGGGGAGATGACAGATACGAAGGCACAAAATGGAGAGTTCACAAATCCTCAGTGCACCAAATGCAATCGAAGACATATGGGTGAATGTTGGGCAGCAAAAGTGACATGTTTTCGGTGCGAAAAACCCGAGGACACATCAAGGGAGTGTACTGAAAGCAAACTTTGCTATGATTGTGGGGCATCAGGTCATATACGATCTGAATGTCCTAAAAACCAAAAGGGGACCATAAGCAATGTTAGAGTTTCAGGTAACAGGTCAGGAAGAGGGGCCGAAAAAAAGGAACTACCTAAGGGACCAGAACGAGCATACAACATGACTTTGGAGGAGGCTAGGGAGTCTCCTGACGTCGTATCGGGTATGTTTCTTGTAAGCAATGTTTATGCTCATGTACTATTTGATTCGGGTGCAAATGGTATTTTCATGTCTTCTACTTTCTGCCACTATTTGAATAAGGATGCTTGTAGACTAGGAAAGAGCTATATTGTAGAAACTGCTGACGGCAGTCAAGTTAAAATAGATGAAATAGTTTATGGGTGCACGATCTATATAGATGGTAGAGAATTGCCTGTTAGGTCAATGCCTATKTGTTTAGGAGGTTTTGATGTGGTTCTAGGAATGGACTGGTTATCCGAACACCAAGCACAAATAGTGTGCCACCAAAAGATGATCAAAATTCAGAACCCCCAAAGGGCAAACAATTCCTGTGTATGGCGATTGCAGGAAGTGTGGTACGGGGATCATCACAACACTAAAGCGAGAAGGTACCTTCAAAAAGGGTGCACTGCTTATCTAGCGTATGCGGTCGATGCTAAGTTAGAAAAGGGAACAGTACAAGGGGTACCAGTGGTGAACGAGTATCCAGAAGTTTTCCCGGATGAACTACCAGGACTACCACYAGAAYRTCAAGTTGAGTTTCGTATTGACTTAGTGCCAGGTGTGGCTCCTGTTGCACGAGCACCTTATCGGTTAGCCCCAACAGAGATGCAAGAGTTGATGAAACAACTTCAGGAGTTGTTAGACAAAGGGTTTATCAGACCAAGCTCATCACCATGGGGAGCGCCAATCCTATTTGTAAAGAAGAAAGATGGCTCAATGCGAATGTGCATTGATTATCGCGAGCTTAACAAGCTCACGATCAAGAATAGATACCTGTTGCCAAAAATTGATGACTTATTTGATTAGTTACAAAGAGCTAGCCACTTCTCGAAAATTGATTTAAGATCATGTTACAACCTTTTGAAAGTCCGAGAAAAAGATGTGCCAAAAACTACTTTTAGAACTCGATATGGTCATTACGAGTTTATAGTAATGCCTTTGGATTGACAAATGCTCCAGTAGCATTCATGGACCTGATGGATAGAGTATGTAGGCCGTATCTGAACAAGTTTGTCATCGTCTTCATCGACGACATTCTAATTTATTCGAAAAGCGAAAAAAAACATGAGAAACATTTAAGAGCTATTCTGGAACTACTGATGAGAGAGAAGTTGTATGCCAAATTCTCGAAATGTGAATTCTAGTTATGAGAAATGCAATTTCTCAGTCATATGGTCAACTCAGAAGGAATTAAGGTGGATCCGGCAAAGATAGAGACCGTCATGGATTGGGAGTCACCAAAATCTACATTCGAAATTCAAAGTTTTCTGGATCTAGCAAGATATTACCGAAGGTTTATCAAGGACTTCTCCAAAATAGCAACGTCTATGACCATTTTGACAAAGAAGTCAATTAAGTTTGATTGGGGAGAAAAACAAGAAGAAGCTTTCCGAACCCTCAAGACCAAGTTGAGTAGCGCCCCAGTCCTTGCTTTACCGGAAGGAACAGAAGACTTTGTTGTTTATAGTGACGCCTCTAAGATGGGTCTAGGTTGTGTTCTGATGCAACGAGGCAAGGTTATTGCTTATGCATCATGACAATTAAAGGAGCACGAGAAGAAGTACCCAACCCATGGTATGGAATTAGCTGCAGTAGTATACGCGCTGAAGATTTGGTGACACTACTTGTATGGTACAAAATATATGATATATTCGGATCATAAGAGCCTGAAGTATCTTTTTGATAAGAAGGAATTGAATATGAGGCAAATGAGATGGATGGAACTCCTCAAGGATTACGATTGTGAAATCCATTACCATCCTGGCAAAGCAAACGTAGTGGCTGACGCTTTAAGTAGGAAGGAAAGGGTCGAGACTATTCAAGTGCGGGCCATGTGGATGAGCATAAAGGTAGATATGGTAGATCAAATCCGGGATGCTCAAAAGGAAGCCTTGATTAAAGCAAACATTAAGAAGGAGAAGAAGGTTGGGCAAATTAAGTCACTGACTGTGGGGTCAAATAGAATACACAGATTTGGGAATCGAGTGTGGATTCCTAATTTAGGTGATTTGAGAAGCAAGGTACTAGATGAGGCACATAAGTCTAAGTACACTATGCACCCAGGTAGCGATAAAATGTACAAGAATTTGAAGGAGAGCTACTGATGGCCGGGTATAAAGAAGTCGGTAGCTGGGTATGTGGAGAAGTGTTTGACTTGCCTACAAGTGAAGATAGAACACCAGAAACCATCAGGAATGTTACAACAAATGAAAATACCAGTGTGGAAGTGGGATATGGTAACAATGGACTTTGTTACCAAGCTACCAAAGACGATGAAAGGACATGATGCAATCTGGGTGATTGTTGATCGATTGACGAAGTCCGCTCACATCCAACCGATCAGTGAAAAATATACATTAGAGAAGTTAGCTCAACTATATGTCAATGAGATTGTGTCAAGGCATGGTGTGTCGATATCAATTGTCTCAAACAGGGATGCCAGATTTACATCAAGATTTTGGGCAAGCTTCTAACAAGAGATGGGGACATGATTGAATTTAAGCAACGCCTACCACCCACAAACCGATGGTCAAAGTGAAAGGACGATACAAACACTTGAAGTTATGCTAAGGGCATGCACTATCGATTTTGGGGGTAGTTGGGACAACCACTTACCATTAATATAGTTCGCATACAACAATAGTTATCATTCAAGCATTAAGGCAACACCTTTCGAAGCCCTATACGGTCGAAAGTGCAGAACACCTATGTGTTGGGCAGACATCGAAGAAAGGCAGTTGGTTGGGCCAGAGTTAGTTCAACAGACATCAGATATGATAGCACAAATCCGAGAAAGGTTGAGGGTCGCGCAAGACAGACAGAAAAGCTATGTGGATAAAAGGCGTAGGCCTCTAGAGTTTCAAGTTGGGGATCAAGTGATGTTAAAAATATCACCCTGGAAGGGAGTAGTTCGTTTTGGTAAACATGGAAAGCAAAGTCCAAGATATGTTGGACCATTCAAGATCATAGGAAGGGTGGGGACGGTGGCATATCGTTTGAAGTTGCCTGAAGAATTACAAGGGATTCATGACACATTTCACGTGTCAAATTTAAGTAAATGCTTAGCTGATGAATCAGCGACTCTAGCATTAAAAGATGTGAAGATCAATCAAAAATTGGGTTACATCGAATAACCAATTCAAGTCTTGGATAGAAAGACAAAGAAATTGCGAAACAAGATCATTCCATTGGTCCTTGTAAAGTGGAAATTTCACAAGGGGTCAGAGATGACGTGGGAATCGAGAGGGATATGAAAGCCAGTACCCACATCTGTTCAACAATGAGTGATTTCGGGGACGAAATCCTATTTTTAGGAGGGGAGAGTTGTAACACTCTAAAATAAGGGTATTTTAAATAAGTGAAATATTGAAGATTAATTATATTTTAACTAATTGGATTAAAAATAATAATAATATAAAAATATCTAATGAATATTTTCGGAAATGCCATTCAAATTTTCAAAAAGTAAAACGTGGGAAATGATTTTAATGAGAATCAAATAAATTTATTAATTGGTGAAAAAAATTGAGAGTAATGGAATGGAAAGGTGGCAAGATTTATGGTATGAAGGAAGTATATATATATATATATATATATATAACCTTCCTTTTTTTTTCAATTAAGAGAGTGTATATATATATATATGTATGTATGTTATATATATATATATATATATATGTATGTATGTATACAAGCTATTCTATAAAGCTTCAAGCCAAGTAAAAAAAAGAAAAAAGAAGAAGGGGAACTTGGGAAGGACGAGACTACAAATCGAGGATGGGAATTCGAGTTCGTAAGCGTTCAAGCATCGATAAGGTAATACTTTATGTTTAAGATAACATCTTATTTCTATGTAAAAACTTCTTAACGTCTTGATTGGCGGGGTTACTTGGTTGCAATGATGGCCTAAAGGTTACCGATTAATAGTCATCGCCTTGAATGGCGACGGTTAAACCGACGGTGGTTTAAACCCGATGTCCTATCGTTTTTAGCCTCGATTGAACTATAAAACAAATGTGAGACTCCTTATAATTCTTGATTTAATATTATACTAGTGATTTGAGATTTATATACGTGTTTATCAAGCCGATTAGTTGATCAGGTAACAGATAATCTTCCGATTCAAAATAGAGAACGTACGGTTATAAAAAAGATAATATTCGGAGTCTTAACGATTAGAAACCATGAACAAGGGGTTGTACAATTTGTCGAATACGACAATGTATCGGTCAAGCAAAAGAGTGGTTTAAAATTAATTTAAATTGAATAAATAGATTAAAGTGTTGCAAAAGGATTGATGACTATCGAAATGCTTTAAATCAGTTTACGGAGTTTACATGGCTATAAAGGGTAAATTAATCGACGTTAATAGACTTTCATAATATGAATTCGTATTTGTAATTATAATAGTTGGCGCAATTTAATTAGGAGTTGGAAATATTATAATATGTCAAATTTACGTTATAGGACGTTGTAAAACTTAAAGTTTGGGGTTTAACAATATTCGACATAGCTTAATCGAGTTCACTAAGGGGTAACTTCAAAGTCACTAGGTTTGATCTTAATAACATAGTTTCGACTTTTGGGTCGATTTTTGAAGAAAACCTAGTCATTAATTGACTATTATAGTTTAATAATTGTAGGTTATTAGTCAGGGAGATCATTTGACAATCTACAGAGTCAGATGAGTATTCATGAGACTTTAACTGGGATGCATGTTTATGTACAAATTATTTGAGTATTACGATATTTTTTTTTTATGTACATGTTTTTGGGTTTATTATATGTATATGAATTATTATTGTGGATTGTGTAACGCCTCGACCCACACATTGCATGTAACACATATTTCATACCAAAGAAATACATATTCGTATACATCTGGGTCCCTTAGAACAAGAATCTACCATCACGACCAAATACAAGGTCCAAAAATTCAAAATACATATCTCGTACTAAACAACAAAAGCAGTTCTGCAGCTGAATGCACATAAGAAAAGCATTACATCTTTTCCTTTCCTTTACCTTCTATACTTCCTGCAATACATATTTTAAAATCACAAAAACGAGGGTTAGACTAAAAAGTCTAGTGAGTTACTCTAATCATGTAATTGCAGGATGAAGGATCACCAAAACCTCTATAAAACAGTTACTCATATATATCAAGAATACATGAATACACAAAAAGGTAATACCAATTCACTTTCCATATTCAAGCTGACCACGTAGCTATCCAAATTCCATAACTTTGAACCAATCGGGTTCCATTTAATACCATTTTAAACCTTTTCTTTATCAATTAAGGTTTAAACAAAGCTTCAGGCCAAACCTGATGTTTCCTTCTCCATAACATCCAGACAATGATTTCCAATAAAAACTTTGATCCTAAATCCTTAAATCACAAAGAAATAAAGATTCCAGACCACGGTAATCTTAAAGGATATAATAGAAAGTGTTATATAATACCACACACAGACAATGCCACCCTTATAACAAATGGACACCTCTCCTTGATATGCCACCCTTATATCAAATGGACATCTCTCCTTGATATGTCACCCTTATAACAAATGGACACCTCTCCTTGATATGTCACCCTTATAACAAATGGACACCTCTCCTTGATATGCCACCCTTATCACTTCATCAAAAACATTTGTAAAATAATTCCGAATAGACCGCAGTCATTGGAATTATWACCAGTTTGAAAACATTTATACCAAAACTTCATTTTTATGATAAAAGAATTCTCATCAAAACATTTTTTAATATAATTCGGTCAACAAAAGGTCAACAAATCCGGTCAACCATCATCCGGTTTAAACACTTGGAATACATTCCACTTTGTCCGGATATCTAATCCGGTCAACACACCTTATAACCTTTGAACGGATTATACTTAGAATAAAATTCACATTTTGAACGGATAACAAATTCGGACAACAATCCGTTCATGACTCGTTCGGTTTAAGACTAAACCGCTCAACACAACCGGTTTACCAACTCCGGACAACAAAACCGCTCAAGGCTTGTCCGGTTTAAAACAATCCGGCCACTAAACCGTTCAAAGCTTGTCCGGTTTAAAACAATCCGGACAATAAACCTTTCAAGGCTTGTCCGGTTTAAAACAATCCGGACAATAAACCGCCTAAGGCTTGTCCGGTTTAAACTCTAATCCGGTCACTCTTTGTCCGGATAACACTTAGATGAAATAAACATGCTTTCTTTTCAAACAAGAAGAATACGAAGCATGCAATTATAACTAGTAAAATCTTTATACAAAAAGGTTAGAAATCACTCACCTTATCAAGCTTTTGAACCCAAAATGCTAGAAATTGATTCCTTTTGAAACTTGATACTTGAAATCAACTTGAAATCTCTTCCTTATAGCAAACCGGACAACACTCTTCTCAAAACCTCTCAACTTTCTTAAAATGGCTGGGAAAAGCAAATGAAGAGACTAAGCCTCCTATTTATATTTTTTTTTTCCAAAAATGGCAAGTCGGCTAAACCGACTCTTTCCCCCTTTCCACCTCAT